GAGCCATATATATACCTCTGTGGGATCCTTTTCAGAGACCACACTAAGAGCGATTCCCCGGTCAGAGCCATCAGTGGCTATTGTCTCATCTTGAGCACTCTGCAGCGACAAGATAGTGTTAAACAATGACTGTGAAATACCAAGAGCATGCTGTATCTCAGCAATCGAGCAGTGCTGATGTGGTAGTCCTCTGAGAAAATTATGTTGAACTTCTGTTAAAACGGCAGACACTACTTTGTCCGGTGACAAAGATGCTCGATAGATCATCATATTCACAAATACGCCTACTGCGTTATGGATATTTGGCACTGGGAGATCGCGGCCAGATGTTAAGTATCCAAAGCATACATCGTCACGCCGGGTATAAGCCCTTAGAGTAAGTGCCCATGCTGCTTGAAAGACAGTTGCAGGTGTAAAATTATGAGCCGCACAGAACCTGTGGAGCGCATCCGTATTCTTGATGTTAGTTACTATTTCACGGGGCTGATTTTCCCCCCCACTGAAATCATCGTTAAGGGTTGGGAAGTAGCATGGCACCACACCAAGCAGATGCTCCGTCCAGTATGAGAGCGACGCGCCCCGTGGGAGTTGCTGGAGGTAGCGAATAAACGGCGAGTATTTCACTGTCTTGGTACTGTCAAGTAAACCGCCGTATGCTTGACATATATCTCTCAATAAAACTAGACTTGATATGCCATCAATCAAGGCATGGCTGATATCAATGGTGCAGAAGATTCTTCTTTCTGCCTTGACAGATGAAACGATGAAAGCGACTGGTGGCTGGAGGGGGCCATCGGTGCGTTTATATTCATCAAGGTTTCGCCAAAACTCATTTTCATCCTCAAACTGCCATATATCAGCTAGCCCATCCCCTGTTTTCAGTACAAGTTGGTCAAATAACCCGTCTTCTGTCTCTGTTTCTGTGTCGATGAAGATGGTGCGCAAGACGGGATGAAGTTGAACGACTTGGCGCCAAGCTCTGACTAATAAGCTCACGTTTGCGCACGTGCCACAGTCTGTCCAGTGTCTCTCAACCTCAGCCCTACCAACGTTGTCGATATCAACTTCGGGATTTTGCGACGAGGACGATGATGCTGGCAACAGTACGACCTCACAAGTAAGTCGAAACTGATATTTGTCAGGGTAGTGCTGTTGAGCGAGAAGTATTCCGCGCTGAACGGGCGACAACGGATAGATATCCTCCACCTGACCCATTTCGAGTCCCAATTGCACAACCCTCTCCTCATTAACTGTACAATCTGGAAGTTCAGGGGTTAGCTGAGCACCCTCAATGCAGCCAGCCTCCCTATTTTCGATTTTCCGAGCCAGCAATAATATCGTCGGGAGTTGTATGATATCCTCTAGCTTCACGACAAGACCGTTATCGCGCAATGTACTTAGCAATTGCATGGCTTGGATAGAGTCGCCTCCATTTTGGATAAAGGATTTCTCTAACCAGACATCCTCTGGCTGGTCTAAACCGATAATTTTGCTACAGACCTCTTGTAGCTGTCTTTCCTGATTGTTCGATGGCAGAGTTCTACAAATTTCGGAACCTTCATATTTGCCTGTCGCGCGATTGAAGATGTCTGTTGATATGGCAGATACCCACTGACGGACTGCAACTCCATTCAGTTTCCCAGAACTCGTTAAAGGAATAGACTTCACCGGAATCCAGATAGTTGGATGCATGTAACCTGGCAGTCGCTCCCGTAGGCTGCTCGCAATACCTTCCAATTCTGCTTTCGCGGCTGATAGTTCAAGGTCATCTATCAGTTCGACGTCCGTGGACATTTGTTTGAAGTTCTTTAATGATATGACTGCGGTTAGCGAGCCCTGACATGGGCCTTCTGTTGGGAGCACTACAACCACCTGCCCAGCCAATTCGTGGGACATTAGATGATGCTCAACCTCACCTAGTTCGATTCTAAGGCCTCGCAACTTCACCTGGTTATCTTTACGGCCACTGAAAGAAATGCTGCCATCAAAGTTGAATCGAGCTAAGTCCCCGGTTTTATAAATCCGACTGGAGCTAGATGGTTCGACTGCTGCCCAACTTGTTGAGTTTAGAAACACTGCTTCAGTCTTCTGTTTCTCATTTAAGTACCCGCGTGCCACGATTGGACCTTGTATTAGAAGCTCGCCAGGCGCGCCAATTGGGAGAAGCTTCTCGTGATCATCCTTATCAACAATCCAGCAGCAACCACCCAAGGGATACCCAATATTAGTGTGGCTGGAGGTAGAGGATAACCTTGGGTTTGCGGTGGCGGCAATAGAACACTCTGTAGGGCCATACCCGTTCGCAAGCCGAACATGTGGCGCCCAAGTTTGGATATTTTCGGGCTGAACTGCCTCACCACCAAGTACAAGGAATTTGAGTGATGGCACCATTTTTGGACTCATTAGTTTCACGAGAGATGGAGTCAGGAATGTCCATGTGATGCCAAACTGCTGTATACATCTCTCCGGACCCTTGGACCTCTCTTCGTCATTAGGAATGCACACGCAGGCACCTGTGATAAGCGATGTAAGGATCTCCAAGACGCTTACGTCAAAGGTAAAGGAAGCCAGTTGGAGCACCTTGTCGCCATAGTTCATCTCCGACGCCTTCTGTTGTGCTATAGCCCCCGTTAGGAATTGGCGATGCTCAACCACGCAACCTTTGGGCTTCCCAGTGCTCCCCGAAGTAAAAATGATGTATAATGCATTTGAAGGGGTAGCTGTTGTGATGGACTGTCGAGTAAATGTTTTCTGGTCTACTTTGAGTGTGTCCACGAGTGCGGGATCAACTGGTAGCACCCTGCCGCCAAACCAACCCCATTTTCCAGAATACTCTTGAGCAGTTAGGATCAACTGTGAATTAGCCTGGCCAACTATATCTTTGTGTCTAGTTTCCGGGTGTGAAGGGTCAAGGAATAGGATGGTGCCGCCCGCTCGAACAACGGCTAACATTGCTATCACAGCGTATACCGATTTGGGAAAGCAAAGAACGACGATTGATTCTGGTACCACGCCTAAGCTCTGCAGACGCAGAGCGATCCCTGCGCTCAAAGCATTTAACTCCTCGTAGCTTACACTGCGTTCCGAGGTCTGTATCGCTTGCCTAAGTGGATACTTAGAGACAGCCTCTTCGAAAAGGGCGCCCACACATCTGTCAATCGATTTGGGCGAGTTGCTACTCCATGCTTGTAACTGGTTCCGCAACCGGGGATGAACGAGGTTAATTTGTGATACCTCACTAAAAGGGTTGGCTAATATTTCCATCACAATTTGGCCAACTGTAGCTGAGACAATCTCTGCATATCCTTGATTTAAGTGGCTAGTTCTGTAGAACAAAGCAGCTCTAGGTGAGGGCTTCCCCGAATCCACATGGAGCCAGACGTCGAACTATGCGACACACTGTTAGATGAACTACTTCGCAAGAATTACAGGAGCGAGTGGCTACTCACTTTTGGCTCCCACTGTGCATTTTTCGTCTCATTGAACATCCAAACCGCAGAATTACATGGTACATCGGCTTCGAGAGAATCTATATTACCAAGCGCAGTACTCATAGATTCCATTGGCATAGATTTGAGCAAGGCGTCGATTTTTGTGTTCTTATCTATAGAGATCGAAAATATACCTGAGCTGGTGTCCGACATCGCTGCCGCACATACATATCCGCTACCGGTAAACGTTTTCAAGACCACGGCCCAGGCTGCTTGCATTATTGCTTTGAGGGACACGTCCCCCTTTTCACAAAACCCCATGATCTCCTGGTAAGAGGGCAGTTCAATGGGTGTTTCTGCCAGTTCGAAGCTATGGGGTATTTCACTATCATCCAAAAGAACTGGAAATCTGCAAGCTGTTGCCGATGACCCATATCGTCTTGGGTTAATGGTATCAATGCTGTGAGGCATGGCGATGATGGTCAAGAAGGTGGAAATGAATCTATGCAGAAGACAAAAATCCGAATGGTGGTATTCCTGATTGCGACAGAAGCTGTATTACCGATGGGAGCTAAATATGATTAACAGACATTCCAGCTAAGTATTACCTTGGTGTGTCTTTGTGGTACACACTGGATCCTAATCATTTCTACCCGGCGTGGCCTTCCGGATAAACCGCTGCAATATACCCCGTAGCTAGCCATTTTACTGGCTCAGTAGAGCTCAACCACGTGTATCTCGGAAGTAGCAACTCGAGTGGTATCCATCCTCAGCCGCAGATACTGAGAGAAGGATGCCTACAATATCGCAATGTTGCCAGGATACCATAAACCCTTGCCAGTGCTAATAGTATCATCCACAGGAGATGGGGCGCATGCACGTAACCCTTGCCTGTAAACTAGGACTTATATCATTGCAGAGGTAATCAGTGAACTCGTTAGACCATGCTGCTAGGAGGTTACAATTAATTTTAAATCTAGTCTAACCGGTTAATTCTCAGCTCCGATTTGCAAAATTTCACATTGACAGAGACTATTTCCTGCAGTAATATCCATATTGGGGCAAGGTCCGCGCCTGCATGAGGATTTAAGTTGTATCTCACCATCCCTGCCACATGGTCTTGAATTCATATGCCTTATGGGGAGATACATTGAGGTGATACGTTTATACTTTAGTAACTCTGTTTTTGAGAACAGCTGAGTGAAGTGCTGTCTTTAGCCCATAGTTGGGTATAGATTCCTTCAGGGTAGCTGCGGCATCATTATATATTGAAACCTTACTCAACGTAAAATAAACAATTCAACGAGGCTGTCAGGGTAGTTACATTCAACTACTCCGGGATATAAAATAGACACGTGAGAACATTACAGGGGCCAAAATTCAATGTGGTCTCATGTTAAATCATGTCGGTGCTCGGATGTATAACTAGTTAGTTACACAACGTGTATGTCTAGTACTAGCAATGGAATATACAACATACATCAAGTAGTCAAAAAGAGCCATTTGATACGGCCAAGTTAGACATCTCCTACCCCTTGAGAGTCAAAGCCGTCTATATCTATTGGTTGTTTACACCCTCGGACATAATTGAATAAAGGGTCCATGTTTTGCGGCCGTTAGATGATCCCATAATTGATATTCATCAACCCGGTGACGCCCAAACTCAGATCCATGCTTACCTTCCCCTACCTTACCAAGCTCCCCTGGAGCCAAGCGAATATCAAATCTCCATAGGATATGAGCTAGCAAAAGTTGAAGCTCAACATAGGCAAGACTTTTGCCGATACAGCTCCGGGGACCAATGGAGAATGGGTTAAAAGCAGATCGTGCTAGGCGTACATCTGCCATGTCTTCGTGCTTGTTAGTACCAAGCCAGCGTTCTGGCTGGAAGCTGAAAGGGCGAGGGTAGTATTGAGGGTTATGATGAATACTGTAGATGCAAGTTCCTACATCTACACCCGGGGGTATATATTCGCCATCTACAACCGCACCGGTTTCCTCAGATTCACGCCATAGGGAGCTGGCTGCAGGAGGGGACATCCGCATGCTTTCGTCGATGCAAGCACGTAGAAAGACACATTTGTTCATCATTGGCCCCATTTTAATATCCTCAGATGACCCAAAGACAGTTCGAACCTCTGCAGTAGCACGATCATACGAGGATTGGTTGTGAGATAAGTAGAAGAAACATGATGCTAGGGCGGTAGATGTTGTGTCTGTGCCTAAACATGATTTATACCTCGTTAGATATTGAAAGAAAGGAAGACAGAGAGGTGATAATTAAGTAGAGAAGGGCTTACCCGCCACAATGAGAGTTGCGCTTTCCCCGCCTAGCTCTCTCATTTTCAAAGGTTCACCAGTCTCAGGATCCTTTGACCTGGACAAAATTGCAAAAACACCGCATCCAGTTTTAGAGGCGTGTTTAATTCCCTGACTGAGCATCTCGTCTACAAATCGAACAAATTTATCCCTAGCGTGAATGGCTTCGGGGAAAGCAATTTTATCAAACCTCAAGAAACTTATCTCAGGAGCTTGTGCCAGAGTCCCAACACGGACATTTGACTTCTCAATGACTTCTGGAATGAAACGATATGTCGGGCTTCGCAGGGTCGACCAAGGGACTCCAAAAATAATATTGCTCATCACATCGAAAGCAAAGTAGTCGTCTAATTGATTAGCTATTGACTCTTCATGACTGTATCATTGACGCCAAACTTACTGAGCCGTGCCATATCCTTTGGGGGGGACCAGGAACCGATGGGCATTTGTTCTCCGTTCAATCCCATTCTCAACTGCGTACACAAGTGCTGTACTTGCTCAAGTATCACAATCTCATGCTTTTTAAGTGCAAAATCAGAAAATCCCTGACTTATAATGCGTCTCTTCTTTCCATGCTTCTTCTTGTCGATTACTGTCAACGTATTAGGGGCACGGTGCACCATAGCTCCATATCTCTGGGCCTTTTTGAATCGTTTTCCGTGACCGTATATATCTAAACAAGTATATCTTAGAAAATAAAAGCCCGCATAAACTTGATAGGGATATACTCGCCGTGAAGTCCATCCACTGTGTTTACCAGGAGACTGTTTGGGCCATATCGGACAAATTTCCCTGGGGAAGAATAATCAGTCAGGAGAGAGAGGGAGGGAGGTAAAGCTTTTTAAAAACCAAGTGTGGGCCACCAACCGTATTTGTCGTGAGAATTAAGCATATCTATATGAAGGTCCCCTTTCCAAGAATGATATCCAGCATATAAATTTGTGATTTTGGCAAGCCATGGGCCAGGATACTTCGCCAGAGGGTGGAAAAGTACTAGATAGACCAATGTTCCAACTAGCTACAGTTGAATATTAGCCGTGTTTTTGGGTTAGGTGACTTATTTGGACATACATAGAGAAGTAGGGCAGCTGCACCCAAGATGGCGGTGAACCACAACGTGGTATATGAAGGGGAGTGGAACTTGAGCATCTTTTGCCCTCAAATGATGCGTGGACTAGGCGATGCAATGATGGAATAGAAGATTACTGACCGTAGAGGCTGGCTTCGACCCACGTTGGGATATTAATATCGTTCGTCCTAACTACGGACTCCCCTATCTACATCAGCCTAGAGGTGCAAGGAACTAAGTGGCTAGCCATCCTGTTGCCAGAGCTATAGGCAGGGTTTCCGGACTTATGGGAATTCAACCCATGGACGTTAATCTTGCCGGAGTTCGATATGTAATTGCAGCTGAGAAACAATTCGCTTGAGCTTGCTGCGCCGATAAAATACATAGTGTAATAATGGTTTACGTGATACAAAATACGTACGATACGAAACGCCAAGAATCCTTTATTTTTGCTAAATTTTAATTTAAGTTTGTTTGTCAAACCTTCCCGAGCCTCGGGGCCGCCAAGCTTGGAAATTTTAAACTAAAGTTACTCTGGGCTTGGTACGCTTTAGGTCAGGCGCGCTTCTCTTTCCCACGATAACTAATATGTTGATATCCCGAGCAACCCTTGTGTTCGATGCCATCCATTTTTACGGAACGGCGTATAACACCGTGAACTTCGTCTTTAATCACGTTTTTATTAGAAGTGGGTACCATTGTTCCTTGTTCCCCCGTTATCTACCGGCAGTTGCTTCAAGCAAGCAAATAATGGCCTAGCAATACTAGGCTTGCAGCTTTAGTTACTGCCGTGGTGGGCCATATCGTTTGTTTGTAAGGTAGTTATCTAATCTAGCCAATCGATTTCTCACTCTACACCCGCAGGCCGAGAGAGATACTCAAGATCGCTCCCCCTCTCCCCTTCGCTATTAAATATATTAAGAGAGGCACGGTTGATTATTGGTGTAGCCGCATCTTACTTTAGCACAAACAACCAGTTGTTATATATAGCGCCGAGAACATGATTACTAGATACGGTGAAGGACCGCGATTCTGTAGTCTAAAACATAGTGGATTTATGAGTATTGGATACGTCGTCGATGCTATGTCTATATGTCACTACACGAAAGCGTCATCAGGGAAATCGAGACACAAACACGAGGCTGGTGGCCAGGTCGGAAAATAAACATAGCGTGATCAAAGCCTGATGTCTCACCCTTCGTAGAATTAACGCAAGGGGTTTCAAATGATTGGCATTTCTTATCATTCGGCTTGGTTAAACTACAGGTAGTTGTCAGCAGCTTTTTTTTTTTTTTTCTCTTTTGGCAGGGTAGAGTCATTCCATACTTACATTAAGCATGACCTTTTCAAGTACTGGGCTCTTTGTAATTTCGAAAGTATCTCTGATGTAATCCAGTGAAAGTTCGAAGGGCTTCGCAGTGAGATTTGGGATGTATCTTCCAACCAAAAGTTCTGAATCAATCGTAGAATCATTGATATGTTTTTGTAAGAAATGCCGAAAGGAGTCCACTCCAGGTTGCAACAGACTGCTATGGAACGGCACATTTACTGCCAGTGGGATAGTTGCTAGACCCCGTTGGAGAGCAATCGGCCTTTGTGTCTGCTCTAAAGTACTATGTTTCCGTATAAAGTTGTGCACATCCTGCGACTCAGACATATTTAGGCCTCCAGACGCTAGAGCATTCATTACCGCTGTAAGAGTTGCAAGTCCTTGCAGCTACAAGTACAGTTTGTTAATCTAAGAAAATTGGAAAGTCATTTTTTGGAAAGAGCACTTACATCACCAGCACAAACGTACTGCACATTTAGAACATTGTAATTAACAATCTCTAGTAGTCCGCGCGTATGTCGAGAAATCTCTTGCACACACCAGTTCAGATCAACCTCAGAAAATGTTTTCGAGACTCGGGTTGGATTAACTGCACACATGGAGTAATTTGTTGCACCGTTGGAGTCACGGTTAACGGCGTTGGACATCGTTAATCCGCGGTAGAACACTAGTGCAGCCATCTGCTCGATGGTGAGAATCTTTCCTACCGCAACTAATGCCACGTATTCACCAAGGGAGTGGCCAGCAAATAAAGATTCTTCCTTAACAACCCCCTTACTACGCATGTCTTCGAACCGGGCAATCTCCATCAAAGCTAGAGCTGGTTGAGTGAATTGGGTTTCATGTAAGAGACCACTGGTAGAGCGAAATGTGTAGGACCTAGTACAGCTTGTGATGGTCGGGAACAGTGGCTTTGGAGTGAGCACCTCATTTTCACCTTTGCTGTCAAGTATGAGAGCCATATAATTATCGCGTATTTTGTGGCCCCTTGCACCTCCAAAATGAATGGTTAAGTGCTTAGGATTCTCACGAACGATATCGAGTATCGAAAAACCTGGAAACAGAGAAATCAATAGTTAAATACCTAATCATCAATAAGTATTGCATCTAGAATGGAGTGACTTACCATACTGATTGATAAAATACCGATCAGCTAAGGTCCAGACGGCTTGGGCAGCAGGACTTGTTTTGTAAAGCTCCAACCCCATTCCCGGTTGCTGACTCCCTTGGCCAGTGAATACATAAGCAGTCGTGGGCTGTTCAATTGTGGCCCGAGCAGATAAAACCTTCATGCCAGAGACTGCATTTTCTGCCTTCACGGAGATCATCAACTGTCCCCGACACATGCCAATGTGATCTATTGAAACAGACAGTCTATCTCCCTCAAAAACTTTTCCCTCAAAAATGCAAGACCAGGAGCGCATTCGAGATACGTCATTGTCCGCGACGTATGATTCGACAAGGCCACGGACAAATCCACTGGTGAACATACCATGAGTCACTCGACCGCGATATCCAGAGTATAAAGCAAAGAGTTCAGACACATGGATTGGATTGGAGTCTCCAGAAGCTTGGGCATAATCAATACCCGAGCTAGGAATAATCACTTCAACACCTTGTGCGAGCTGACGGAAGTGTTTTAAGGTGTTATGCTTATCCTTTACGCTTGATCCACGACGATGTAAGTAATCAGTTATTGGGTTTTTCTTATATGATTCAGAAGAAAAGTACACAGATCCAAGGGCTGTGGTATGACTTGGAGCGTGTTGATGGACAGCTTGACCTTCAACCTCGAGATGGGAATAGGTTTCTGAATCCTTAAAAAAGTACCGACTAGTAATGTGAAACTCAATTTTTTGACCGAGATAGTGCGTGAGATCTGCATTCTCATTTAACTGAAACCATTTTCTGGCCTTTAATAGTTCAATGTCTTTCATTGAAGCTATTTGTACCAGGAATTTTTCCTCAATTATCTCAAATGTTGATGAATAATCCGTGTATACCCCAGGGATGATAAATTCGCTCTTCAAGTGAACAACTGGAGCACCATCTCGAAGAATTGTCGCTTCAACCCCAATAATTTTTCCTGACCCTTTCTTTATTTTGACTGCAGTGAGCTTGCATTTTGACGAGACAGAATCCCCTTCACTGATGGGTTTAACTCCTTCGTGTAGACGAAACTCATTAGTGAGATGTAATAAGTTAAGTATGTTTCCAGGAGTGGACGTGGAAAATAAGCATCTCATCATTGGTTTCCAGGCAATTGCAATGGCCAAGTCGAGCGGCGCGTGTAAGAGGGTTTTCGACGGGGATATATAGTATTGATTATAATTGCAGATACTTTTAGCAAACAGAACAATTGTATCTCGGTTTAGAATAGCGTCTTCACCGTGGAATACCGTGCCAGGCGTTGCAATTGTCACTTGCTCTCCAATCCAAATGGATTGGTAGAAGCGCCTTGATTCCACAATGTGATCCTGGGTGTATTCAATTATCCTAGGAGATCTGAATCTTGGTTGATATTTGAATTCAAAGTCCAGACACAGTGTAGATCTATCTCCCATTAAATGGTTAGAAAGGGATAGGATGATCCTCCCCTCTAGCCCCTTTTGTATGGAAGCAGAAGCTATTGTAGTCCTTGAACATTCGTTCGGGGTATTTTGTAAGTCCCCAATTTCTTTAATCATCATTATACATTGTTCAGGGGACGATGGATTATGAAGCTCGACGACGCGGCCAGGTTTAGGGGCGAAGACCTTCCTTATTGGATTGTTCACCAGAATGCCGTTCCGGACGATGTCTGGTTCCGTCAATATTGAGACGCACCATGCTACATGTGTTGTACCAGCTAGAAACTTTATCCAATCATCATGGCCAGGTAGTTCGGATTCAGTACTTGCCAGCGAGTATCTCACCAATGTTCCATTCTCCGATACGTGGACAGTAACTCCACGTGGTAACAAGGGCATCTTCTGAATACCTGCTGCCAGGTTTGATGATGATTGAGAAGGAGTAAAATCAAAAATAGTCTCGTTCGCACGGGTCTTTGTGATAAAAGTATCGTGAATGCCATCCAAGATGCTGCTCACAGGTTCATCCACTTGGCGAGTATGCCGAGCAGCCACAGGGCCATGGAGAATGCATATGCGTCCAACATCCTGGCCTTGAACGGCCTCAAGTCGCTCAGATTGCCATAGTGAATCCTTTTTAAACCAATATTCAAA